CAAATTTCAAACCCCTTCTCCGTTTTGGTCTCACAGCCTAAAACAAAATTTGGGATTTGAAATAAAAACTTGTCGTAAAAATCATCTTTTTTTAAATAATAAGAATAATTGATGAACATTTCTACTTCGAACTTAATACAAATTGTAACAAGGACACTGCAAAGCAGAACATCCCCTCACAAAGATCAAGGCGGCCTTCGAAATCGATCCCTTTGCAAATTACGTCACTACCGTTCGTACAGAATAAATTCACTCACCCACAAACAAAAACACATTTCCGATAATTTATCACTTCCAACTCCTTAGCCAGGGGATAACACGGAACATCCCCCGCAAAGAGCATATGTATAAATCAAGGCAGCATTCAACAATACAAAGTAACACACACACAAACACAACAACAGTATATCTCCTACGTTGTGAGGGAACAAGAGGCCCATGGGTCACATCGCTCACCTAAGTACTATAGCTTAGAAAAAGTAGAAATTGGTTTATTATTGAAAAGTTAAAATCCAAAAGTAATCCCATGATCAATCATGGATTTGCTATTCTTCAAAGAATTTTCCCATATATTTCTATGTAAAAATTTGGTCGGCCATTTTGGCCCCGCCCTACCCCCTGGGGTCATGATTTGAACAAATTTGAATCTACACTACCTGAAGATGCTTCCATATAAATATGATGAATAATGGCTTTGTCATTCTTGAGAAGAAGATTTTTAAAGAATTTTCCCATTAATTTCTATGTAAAACTTTGGTCGGCCATTTTGGCCCCGCCCCACCCCCGGGGGTCATGATTTGAACAAACTTGAATCTTCACTATCTGAGGATACTTCCATATAAATTTGATGAATTATGGCTCTGTCATTCTTGAGAAGAAAATTTTTAAAGAATTTTCCTATATATTTCTATGTAAAACTTTGGTCGGCTATTTTGGCCCCGCCCTACCCCCGGGGATCATGATTTGAACAAACTTGAATCTTCACTACCTGAGGATGCTTCCATATAAATTTGATGAATTATGGCTCTGTCATTCTTGAGAAGAAGATTTTTAAAGAATTTTCCTATATATTTCTATGTAAAACTTTGGTCGGCCATTTTGGCCCCGCCCTACCCCCGGGGGTCATGATTTGAACAAACTTGAATCTTCACTATCTGAGGATACTTCCATATAAATTTGATGAATTATGGCTCTGTCATTCTTGAGAAGAAAATTTTTAAAGAATTTTCCTATATATTTCTATGTAAAACTTTGGTCGGCTATTTTGGCCCCGCCCTACCCCCGGGGGTCATGATTTGAACAAACTTGAATCTTCACTACCTGAAGATGCTTCCATATAAATATGATGAATAATGGCTTTGTCATTCTTGAGAAGAAGATTTTTAAAGAATTTTCCCATTAATTTCTATGTAAAACTTTGGTCGGCCATTTTGGCCCCGCCCCACCCCCGGGGGTCATGATTTGAACAAACTTGAATCTTCACTATCTGAGGATACTTCCATATAAATTTGATGAATTATGGCTCTGTCATTCTTGAGAAGAAAATTTTTAAAGAATTTTCCTATATATTTCTATGTAAAACTTTGGTCGGCTATTTTGGCCCCGCCCTACCCCCGGGGGTCATGATTTGAACAAACTTGAATCTTCACTACCTGAGGATGCTTCCATATAAATTTGATGAATTATGGCTCTGTCATTCTTGAGAAGAAGATTTTTAAAGAATTTTCCTATATATTTCTATGTAAAACTTTGGTCGGCCATTTTGGCCCCGCCCTACCCCCGGGGGTCATGATTTGAACAAACTTGAATCTTCACTATCTGAGGATACTTCCATATAAATTTGATGAATTATGGCTCTGTCATTCTTGAGAAGAAAATTTTAAAGAATTTTCCTATATATTTCTATGTGAAACTTTGGTCCGCCATTTTGGCCCCGCCCTACCCCCGGGGGTTATGATTTGCACAAACTTGAATCTTCACTACCTGAGGATGCTTCCATATAAATTTGATGAATTATGGCTCTGTCATTCTTGAGAAGAAGATTTTTAAAGAATTTTCCTATATATTTCTATGTAAAACTTTGGTCGGCCATTTTGGCCCCGCCCTACCCCTGGGGGTCATGATTTGAACAAACTTCAATCTACACTACCTGAGGATGTTACCCCATAAGTTTCATCTTTCCTGGCACAGTGGTTCTTGAGAAGAAGGTTTTTAAAGAATTTTCCAATATATTTCTATGTAAAACTTTGGTCGGCCATTTTGGCCCCGCCCTACCCCTGGGGGTCATGATTTGAACAAACTTGAATCTACACTACCTGAGGATGTTACCCCATAAGTTTCATCTTTCCTGGCACAGTGGTTCTTGAGAAGAAGATTTTTAAAACATGCCACCAAATTTTCATTAATTCCCAATTATCTCCCCTTGAATGAGGGAGTGGCCCTTCATTTGAACAAACTTGAATTCCCTTCACCCAAGGATGCTTTGTGGCAAGTTTGGTTGAAATTGGCCCAGTGGTTCTTGAGAAGAAGTCGAAAATGTTAAAAGTTTACAGACAGACAGACAGACGGACAGACGGACGCCGGACAAAATGTGATCAGAAAAGCTCACTTGAGCCTTCGGCTCAGGTGAGCTAATAAAAACTAGTATTCATTATTATCATAGGCGTCGGGAGCAAAATGAAAGTGGGGGGGGGGGGATGGGGGCTAATTCAAAGTGGGGGCTAAACTAACAAAAAAATTACATCTCAATTTCCAATGCCTATAGTATGTCTATCTTCGCAGTTCTTAACTTTTGTTATGTTCTTATTTTTTAATTTGGTCATATACCTCAGCATATTTTCATCTAGAAGGATAAAACATAATTTACTTTCTAAAACAGAACGCGTGTCATATCTGTCAAGGATTAACTCTCGCAATGGAGTTGCAGGAGGCAAAGCGGTTTGAGTGGAGGGGTTAGTTTGTCCTTGTCTGCGAAATGAAAGTGACGGTATTTGAATAGGGATCGATGTCAAAGGCTGCTTTGAATTTTGAGAGAAGATGATCCGCTTTGCGATGCCTTTGTTTTAACTAGACTGAAATTATACAATATGATATAACATCATTAACTTGCTTTCTCAGCTTAGCGAAATGACTTACTTCCTTTTTCGTTTTTTAATGATGTTTTAAAAATAAAAGTTACCATAGTTTGTTGATTTCTTTTTGAAGGACTGAGAATCCAGGTTAAGACCTGAAAGGGCAGCACTGATTTTGTCATCTAGGTTTTTTGGATTCTTGGTTCTTGTTGTAATTAGGTATGTGTCTATGTGAGTTTGTTGATGCATGATCGCAAATCCATTGACAGGGTCATCATTAACGTACAAAATTGTGTGTGTACCTAGTTTTTCTGAAAAAAGTAAAATGTTCTATATAAAAATGTTTATAAACAGTGAAGTCTAATGTTATTTATTATAAATGTTAAAGGCGAAGATTACGAATAGTGATCGATCTTAAAAAAAACCTATAAGTAATACAAATATGTGAAGAGGGCAACTATATAATATCAAATTCAAAAACCACTAGGCTAAAGAGATAATTTATTATCAAGTATTCCCTTAGGCTTTCTTTCCTGCAAATGTTAAATTCCTATTTCCTGTAAAAAAAATTTAAAAAAAAATTAATATCCTCTTCTTCTTACGTGAATTGATGACAGAAAATTGTCCTCCACCACCACCACCCCGTCTTTAAACTATCCTGGTCTGTTAAATTAATTCATTAATTTATTTTTTTTTTTTTTGGAAAATATATAGCTTGAAATGACTCAGATGTGTAGTAAAATAAAACAAGAACCTTTTGTGGACATCCGAATGACTTCAAACTTGACAGACAAATCGGAATCCAAAGGAACAAACTTCTGTGCTGTGGTACGACATTCTTCTAAAGAACTATATGCGGTATTAACCAACATTTGCCCCCCAAAATCAAACTTTGATGGAGTAATATTTAATTAAGTCCTTAAACAGGGGAGTATATGCTGACTTCAAAGCACTGAATAATTTCATAAGTAATGACGTCATATGTACGTAATGACGTCACAAATATGACGTAAATTTCAGTTTTTTATGAATTTTGCAGAAAAATGTACATATTTCGTCTATATTTTGAATAAAAGTCACCGAGCGCATGTGTGTTCAGGATAAATATTTTGATATAATGTGTAGAATGATAATATCAATGAAATATGTCAATATTGTTCCTGAACACACATGCGCTCTATAAATTTTAAAGCTTAAATTGTTGAAATTTTGTCCATTTTGTCCTCTTTCTGAAAAAGGATATAAAATCGGACTAGTTTGTGACGTCATAAAAACAGAAATTGTGAATACACTGCTCTGGAACTATAATATTTTCTGTTAACTTATATTTCTCGTACAATTTATTGAATTCAGCACATTTCAGGAAGTTTTCAAAATTTGACTTTTGTGGGGGCAAACATATGCAATATACCGCATATAGTTCTTTCTAAAGTGATAAATTGAAAAAAAAAACTTTTGCTAAATTTTCTAGAAAAGATGGGTGAACAAGGCGAGCGAACTTTCTATAGTGCGACAAACATAAAGGTGAAAAATTAAATCTCAATTATATATTAAAATTTTCTTTGATATTTCTCACAAGTGTACTTTTGCAAAAATCCTACATGATCTTGCATAAAAATGAAAGGACAAGATAAGGTAACAGCACTATTTGGCCCCCGATTTTGGGTTTCTTTCAGAATGATCCAACAGTTTATCCATAAAAACTTGTTGTCACCCCTGCCACAAAATGAGTATTGGTTTTAAGATTTAGAATATACAGGGGCCACAGTGAGGTCAGGAAATAGGTCAATTTTCGACATTTCTCATTTTTATGTAAATTTTCATCAATTTTACAGACATTTTCTTTCGGAAAACATAGAGCACACACTTGCCTATCTACCAAATTTATATATTTTATACACTAATATCAGATGCATTTATGTGTAAAAATCTCAGATAGGCAAGCTTCTGCTCTCTGTTTTCCGAAGAGAAATGTATACCAAATATGATGAAATTCCACCAGAATTGAGGAAATTCTGGAAAATGCCCTATTTCTGCTCCCTCTAGTGGCTTCCGTGTAAGTTTTGAATCAAAATAAGTGCTTGTATTAAAGTAAGGATCATTTTAACTTCTTAACTACAAACTATCACAATTCTACCAGTGTTCTGATTTTTACATCAAATAAGGGGCCAAGTTCGGCTGTTACCCTATCTTGTCCTTTATGAATTTGTTCTATCTAATAATCTAGTTCCTAAATTCAAATTGTGCACAACTGGTCTTATGTGCTATAGGAAACAATTTTGTGTATATAGGAAACAATTTTTTGTATATAAGATCGATTTGACTAACTAGGCCATGTATGTTGTATAATGAGAAAAAACTTACGGAAACCAGCGATACAGTGTGATTAAGACACTCCCATCATCAAGAACCTCATGATCCCCATAGGTGTTGTCTCTGACGTTCGCGCTCCGTGTGTCCATAAACAGGTACCAACGTCCTTTAAACTGATTACATGATTTGATTTTTTTTATTATTATTATAAAAAATACTTTAAATCAACATTTGCACCAGACAGGGATTTACACATATGCATATTCTTCTTTAACAAGTACAATTCAAACTTATTAATTCAATCATTAACGTCATATATGGCGTATTTTGATGTCTAGAAAACAAAACTTGAAAATATCTTACTATTTATTTTATTACTTTATATAAAATAGGACTTTTCTGTAACTTAACACAATTTAAATCAACTGCGTTTCAAAGATATCAAAAAAGTTGAAACAATAACCTGTAGTATTTATATACCAAGTTCACATTTAAATTACAAAAAAATCAATTGAACTAAAGAACTGTTAGGTTTTTCAAGTGCAAAATCAGCGAAAATTTAAATTTGAAGATAAATATTATCAATTACGCCATATACGCTATAGCTTTCTTTCAAATGTAGATGTCTTTAATAGCAAGATCGTCTGTTTTTCTCAACTAGTCAATAATAAGTTTCGAAAAACGATCCTATATCATGTAGTAAGAGAAATACAAGAACATCAAAACATTTTGTAATTTACCTTTCTGTGGTCCAGACGCTGTGGATTTAAAAATTCGCTTCTTTTGGAGCCGCCAGAAATCTGAGAGGATGATGTCTCTTGGCAAAGAGAAAAAAGAACAAAGAGAGCAAATATTTTGGTAAACATCTTTACTTTACTCGGATTGAGCATGAACACCGACAAAAGTCTGAAATATCTTACAACTTTTGTATCTCAATTATTTTTATAAATAGGCCTGGTCTATTCTAGTACTATCTAGATTGGGAACAAGCTCATTCTATCATTGGCTTTGCCAGTTACCCAATCCTGATTGAATTACCCAATAAAAATGTATAAAGTTAACTTTGTACTTTTCCTGTTGCCCAATCCTGATTGAAGTAATCAATAAAAATATGTGATCAGTTAATTATATACAGCTGTGTCGAAAATTTATGCATTTAGCATAACGGAAACAAACTGTTTCTGTGAAACACTGATGCCATCAAATTGCAGATTAATATTAAATCAATGAAGGTTACTCCTCAATTAAGGGTTCAAAAATGTTTGTACTACGCAGTATTCAAACTAGAAGTACTGTAAGCAATGAGCTCACTAAATGATACCCCTCCTCCTATATTAACATAATGGCAGTGTTCATGTTTTGCTGTGGGAAACCCAAAATAAGAGTCGGATCAAAAAGCAAAATAGGAGATGCACAATTGCAATATGAAATAAAGATTCTGTGGAAGTTGCATCAAATTTCATTCAGTGGTATCAGAGGAGTTGCAGGTAAGAGATGGGTACCCCATTGCGTAACAGACGGACAGACGGACGGTTACTTACTTACTTACTTAGGCCTGTCGTTCCGTGAGGAACATAGGCCCTCGACGACAGTCCTCCAACGAACACGATTCTGGGCTGCTTTAGCTGCATCCTGTCAGGTCATATCCTGTGTCTTTAACTCTGACTCCGAGTCACACCTCCGGGTGTTTCTAGGACGTCCTCTTTTTTCTTTTGCCCTAATGGGTTCCAAGTCAGAGCGGACGGATGGACGGACAGACGGACGGACATACCGATTACCGGTACTATATACCTTCCCGCTTTTAAGGCGGGGTTATAATAAAATCTCTTATGACTTAAAATACACCAGAAAGTTGTGTATTTAGTATAACAGGTTAACTCTGCATGTTATAAAAACTAGAAGTACTGTGAGCAATGAGCTCACTGAATGATACCCCTGCCTACCATATGAAACTAATGGCAGTGTCCATATTTTGCTACGGGAAACCCAAAATATGTGTCGGATCAAAAAGTAAAAGAGAAGGTGCACAATTGCACAACGTAATAAAGATTTTGTGAAAGTCCGTCTGTTACGCTTTGGGATACCCATCTCATATCCGCAACTCCTCCTATACCACTGAATTAAATTTGATGCAACTTTTAGAGATTATTTATTATATATAATGTCATGATTCTGTATCTCCTATTTTACTTTTGATCAGACACATATTTTGGGTTTACCATAGCAAAACATGGATACTGCCATTATATTCATATGGGAGGCGGGGGTATCATTTAGTGCGCTCATTGCTCACAGTACCTCTAGTTGATAATGTCAATTCAGAGTAAGCCCCGCCCATTAAGGTGTAATATCCCTCTGGTAAGAGAGATAACTTTCTGAAGACATTTTCTATGAATTTCAATGAAATGTCTTGTCAGATGTATGTAGTTCTTTAATGAGGACCAATTTTATAGTCAACTCAAACAAATCTAATCTACTGTACAGTTGTCGATTTCTAGTTTCTTTTAAAGGTGCATGGACACAGAATTGAAGTTAATATTTTCTGTATAATATAATGACTTATATATTTTAACAGCATTTCACACAAAAATATATTAAAAATTTTGGCTCAAGTTCAATATAAGACGAAAATAGTTCCAATTTTTTTTCTCGTAAGAATATTTTTTTTTGCATATTCATCAATATTCATAAATGTACAAAATAAAATAAATTAGCATATTTTGCATATGAATCAAATGTGAATATTAATAGGGCCATTATTGGTAAATTAGTTACATAAACCAATTGAATTCTATATTGTCAACCAATTATTGTATAAAATGGATCATAAAGTACGAAACAAGATATGTATCTTACATATGATTTTATGTAAGTATCAATAAATTTTAATGTGCACTTAGTAGTCATAAATGAACATTTGTTCATAAGCATGCTACTATGTCTGGTCGACAGGCAGACGGGTTGACATTATTATAAATGCTACTAAGGTTGACATTAGTGTAAATATGTATTTAGAAGTCATAAAATATTATTTGTTCAAAAAAATCCTTATATGTCTGCTTAACAGGTCGACAGGTTGACAGGTCGACAGGTAGACAGGTCGACAGGTTGACAGGTTGACGGGTCGACAGGTCGACAGGTTGACAGGTCGACAGGTTGACAGGTTGACAGGTCGACAGGTTGATATCAATAATACTGTGAAGTTTGAAAGTAAATTTGTTATAAATGTGCTTTTATATCTGGTTGACAACATTATTCAGATGTATTTTGAGTTGTCAATAAGACGTGTTGACAATTTATATATTCAGCTCATTTATAGTAAAAAGAGTCAGCATAATACACATTATTGAAGTAATTTGGTTTCTGTGTCAAATGGAGATGTATAATTTATACATCTAACTGTTATCAGACATTGCGCATTTATAATGAGAATAAAATTTAGACTTTCAGGCATTCAATATACATGTATCTTATGATATAACCTGTCTACCTGTCAACCTGTCGACCTGTCAAACCTGTAAAATTGTTGTTCTTAATTTAAACTGTTGACCTGTCTACCTGTCGATCTGTCGACCTGTCAAACATGTCAAATTGTTGTTCTTAATTTAAACCTGTTGACCTGTCTACCTGTCTACCTGTCGACCTGTCAACCTGTCGACCTGTCAAACCTGTAAAATTGTTGTTCTTAATTTAAACTGTTGACCTGTCTACCTGTCGACCTGTCAACCTGTCGACCTTTCAAATTGTTGTTCTGATGTAAAAAAAAAAAAAAATGTGTTGTTATTTTACATGTATCCTAGGTTTTTATTATACTAATTCATTTTAATAAAAGTGTTTGTTAATATTCATTAAAAAGTAATTTGCATTTAATGTTTTGTTCATATATTTATATTAAAATATAATTGATATAATTATTCATGAATATTTATGATCGTACAAAAATATTATAATAACAAAACCGATTTACTGTAGATTATGTGGATGGGACTATTATTTCAATTTACAGTTTTTGAAACTACAATTTCTTTTATGGGTTTAATTGACACATCCTTGCACTCTTACAAATTTTACTTTTATTCTTAATACTTAGAAAAAGTGGCAATCTTGTTGTGTATTAATGAAAAATATTAAAACTTTAATCCAGAAAATAAATTGACGACAAATTTTCCGTTATTTACCGATCATGACAAGGAGCACACGGCGGGTGTGACAGGTCAGCAGGGGATGCTCACTCCTCCATGGCACCTGATCCCACCTCTGATGTTTCGGAGGTCAGTGTTTGTTCTGTCCTACTTTGTGTTGTTTTATGGAATTTGAGATTGAATACTGTTCGTTATCTCCATATCCTTCATTCAGAAAAAAAATGTTAGAAAGCAAAACCCCTTCACAAGTATCTTCATTTCGCGCTAAGTGTTGTTTACAGAGTTTAGCGAATTGATCACGATCGTGATACGTACAAAGTTTTTGTAAACAGGGCACGAGCTTTGTTATTGTTGATGTTTACTATTCACCGGGTGTGTTCAATTGTTAAAGTCAGCTTACCACAACTGCACTTGTTGATGAATGCATATTATTTTACGAGCACAGAAAATTATTTGATATATTATCTGGAACAGCTCGAACAGTTTTCTGTGACCGCTGGGGCCGCTGTGGAACTGCTCTGGGAATGCTGTTGAACTGTTGGGAGTGTTCTTTTTAAATATCCTTAGCCAGCAATGATATTAAACACTTTGCCAAATTAGGATTTCTTTTTTTTTTTTTTACATTTTTAGAGAGGTTTAGTTACAAGTGACGTAATAACGTGTACGCGTAACATTGACGTACACGTTCTATTTGACGTCAACGTCAATAACATGATTTAGTTATACGTACACGTGTACGTATGCAAATTTCGTGGCTGAACAATAAATTAATTGAACGGCATTGTATTTATTATTTTTAATTTAGACAAATCAATGGTGAAATGAAATTTATACTTACTCTAGTCATAGATATCATAAACTATGAAAAATTATTATATGTATTGTCATCTCAATGCAGTGAATCGCTCTTAATTCTGCATCACTTTAAAAATGGAAGCAATCATAAAAATTATTTATTTGACGATTAAAAAAACGACCACATTTTGCACTTTGTGGAGGATGAAGGGGGGGGGGTCCAAATGAATACCTTT